GTGAAGACGGGCGGGTTGCTAGTTTACATTTGGTAAGTACATTTATCAGTGGCATATGGTATAATGTACCATGCAATAAGACTTTAAAACGACATAAGTGCATTAAAAAATGTAGTGAAAGTGTTCCTGTGATGACCTGCAGTGAACCAAAACCTTGTTCTTATTTACAATGTAAAACAAACCTTATTTCTTACACAATAAGGGTTATATCAAATGTATTACTAAACTTTGTGATGTGAAACCTACACACAGGAACGGCTGGGTTGCATAATTTTGTTTATTCGAATATGAATCTTATGCTTTCTGTTATAAGGTTTAAATCAAGTGTAAGTTTTATGTTGGTGTTATTGTGCACCGGTGCAGTACTGTGAGCGGAACTTACACGCACCTGCTTCCGGTCGCGCGACGTGTTTCCGGTAGATATGCAACAGCTGGCACCACACATAGCTGCGGAGAGTAGAGAGTTGATAGAGATCGGTAGAGTTCAATGTTTAATAATTTTTGATGGATATACGACTGCAAAATCGAGCGTAGCTGGTTTGATTTTTAATCAGTGCAAAAATTCGTAGTCATGAATTTTCTTAATTGCTTTTTCTTAAAAAAAGATAACTGCCGCACTAGGAATATATCCTGTGTCGTGGGGAACTTTGCAAACATTCATTCAAACGGACATAAAGACCATTCAAACTTAGAACAACAACTTTTCTAAGGAGAGGCCTATGTCCAGTAGTGGACTATTAAATGCTGTCGATGATGATGATGATGGCCCTACAATGTTTACAAGAAGAGAAGAGTTCGGTTGTCTTTGGAGTGTACAAACGACTTTCGGTGTCTACAAGTTTGATTAAAATCTCTTAAAAAAGTATCAATAAGTAAGTACTAAGTAAGCCTTCAAAACGCCTACACCAGAATGATTTATGATAAGCTTTCTTCATTGCTTAACTTTCCACCCTTTAAATTTAAATTTGACCAAACGTAAAGCATACTCTAATCGATTCATAAATTATCGAGTTCTGAGGTAAGAAATAAAAATACAACCAAAATGAGAATCTATTTTTTTTGAAGTAGGTTAAAAAATCTTCTTCGAGTTTAAAATTATCCAAACTTTGCATTAAAATATTACTGCCATCTTGTGTCGAGTAGAAAAACTATCTGCAAAATAAATTTATTACTGTAGTTTGGAGAATTTACATTAGATGGCGCTCAAACAAAATAAAACAGCTAATTAAATTATGCTGTTTTCGACGGGGTCTATAATTGTTACCAATTTTTAATCCTACCTGTAAATGTACATTATGGAATGCAATAAATTTAATTCAATTTCATTTCCAGTTTGCCACAACACTTCAATTTCGTAATTTGCTAGTGTTAATGGTAATTTGTTGGTTGGGCCAAGGAGTGCTAATTTTTAAGTATTCACAACGATTTGTAAGGAATAAATGAATTATAAGCGACATTCTTCCTAGATGTAATAACTTCAAAGTTAAGTAGTAGTTAAGGCTTACAGAAAAGGTAAAAACCTTACACTGAGCATGTCAGCCACTAGACCAGTTTCCAAATACTTACCATTTTTATATGTGGCCGATAATACATGTATCCGCTGGCTGCTTTACGATATTTGTACAAACACAGCCCTCTCATTCAACAGACGAAGAATGAGTGAGTTTTTACTATTAATAAACATTAATACTTTAATAATTTTACTTTATTATTAAACATTAATATTCAAAATTAGTTCACAAAATACGAAAACAAAGATAGAAAGGAGGGAATTTAGGGAATAAGTTCTCAATTGTACCGATTTGTATTTGAGTGTTATTATTTGATGTCTTCGTTATTTGCTTAACCAATTTGAATATTTACTTTTGTATTAACTTAGCAGATAGACCTGCCACTTATAAAGGCGACAAATGAAAAATGAAAAATTACAGCTGATTAATTATTTTCAGTTGCATAAAGATTTGTTAGTTTATATTTGATGAGCCTTTTTCCCAAACTAGGCTGGGGTCGGCTTTAATACAGCTACGATACGGTTGAACTTCGATTTTTTACGCGGACTGACTGCTATTAAACCTCCACAACACGATTTTACGGTAGGCTTTAACTAGATAGCGAATTGCGAACGCGTTCTTCCAGGAAGCCAATTTTCATAATAAAAGTTCGGTCACAATTCAGTTCCGTTCAACTTTCGATCTCACAACTGTCATAAAAGGTATTCTTGTAGTAAAGTATTTAACGTCCAACATTGACTGCAATTTGATTATTTCGTATTGTAACCGAAAATTGAATCGATAATTTGCTAGTCTTAGTAATACTTGACTATTATACAACGAAAATACCTTTTATAACAGTTTAAAGATCGAGAGTCCATTGGAACTGAATTTTGACTAAACTTTTATTACGAGAATTGGCCTTCTGGTTGTAATTTACACAAGGGTAACAGGATTTAGGTAACAAATAGTGAAAGAAAACAAACAATACTGTTCCGTATATGAAGATATTATATTTTCAAAGAACATGTATTTTTTAATCTCAGCATAATTTCGGTCAATACAACTTGTGAAACAATACGACCCACATTTATTTATATACCATTATATTATGTAACAAGTAACTAATATCATTTACTTTTATACCGTAATAATTATTGTGACTTGATCATACAATTCAACTACACACTTGAGTCAATATAAAAGATTAATTCGCTCACGGCTGCGCTACGTCGAACAAGTATGGAAGGAATAGTACCAAGAGGACACGTCGTTGAAATGTACCAAAGACGTAAGTGCCAACGACGTAAAGTACAAGGTCATCGACGTAACGCAGCGTCGTTATACATCCCGCCTACTATACATATAGTACACTACATTCAGCGACCGTGTATAAAAGCCATAGAATTTGCCAACACTCTATAATTTGTGATTAAATAATATAACATTTTTTTATAAATTAGTGGTAGTTAGAACAGGAAGGACATTATTATAACCTATAGGACATCGGATTGTTTAACGTAACGTGTATATAAATAATTATTGTTGTATCCCTTAGTAACAAGGAGTCGAAATATTACAGTTTCAAACGTAACGATGTCCCGTTATTAGAAATAGTTTAAGTTTATCGAGAAAAATATGATTTTTCGATGTTTTTATTCAAATATCTGCAGGAAGAATCCAATTTATGAAACTGGGACACATTATCATTAAAAAACAATTGCTTAAAACAGCAATAAGCTTAAATGGCTTAAATACTTAACTAGATGTACAAATAATTATTTCATATCTGTTATAGATAAGTAACAACGTGTGGAATTTAAAAAATATATTTCACAAATTGGATTCGTAGACACCGGTGCTATTATTATCACAAATACAATACTGTTTCTTGTATAACGTTTCGTTTATAAAAAGCTTAAAACACGTAAATATAAAATCACTCGTGAACACAAATATTGAATTAAATATACAACGCAACTATATTAAAGTTCTTGCTTTGGTCGTTTTTTTCTATCGTTTAGCTATTGGAATAATGCGAATTTGGCAGTAAGAGTTGCCAACAATCTCTTTACCTAGTAACACCATAAGTGTTGCCCGCCTTAAAAAACTTGCGTTATATATTTACCTCAATATATGTGGCCTTGAACTTGAATAGTTCGATAGCTGCCGTAACGGAAGATTGTTGTCTTGTTATTTCCCGCGGTTTTTCATTTCAACGCTATCAGTCGAAGAGAGCAGACTTCCCTGCTCTTTCGCTAAGCAAAGGAGGCTTACGCTTAACAAAAAATGTTAATTTTTTACTTAGATATAAGGCAGTGCTGTTGACATTGTACAAGCTTGTCTCACGAAAATATTTCGAACACCAATTTTCTAAAGGGTTTTTATTAATGATTTATGAATAAGAAGCTACATTATTATTTGTAATGATATGCAGACTGTCAGCTTTGAATATTTCATATAATTTGTGCATGATATGTAATAATTTATTATTAACATTTGTCGGCTAACAAACATACAGTTGCAAAGTAATTACTAATATCATAACAGTGTCTACTAATTTTAAAGTAACATTCGTTTAAACAAATCCCTAAGGCCAAAGTTGGGGATAAAGTTTAAAATCCTTTTTAGGAGGCAAACATTATAATTAATCTACTATTTGTGTTTTTCGACAACGTGTATGAAAAATTAACAATAAAACCGCAATAGATTACTAATTATTATCTCATTATAAGGCTTAACATTTAAATTAAACAATTTTATTTAGTATCATTGCCCATCCGAAATGTATCTGCTACAGTCGAAACTCTAAACCAGTCAACTTAGCCTTAAACAGTACTTTTAACTGAAAAAAAAAAACAGTCAAAAGCACAGACCACTGATTTTTCAGTTTCAAATATGTTTGGCTAATTAGACCGACAGAGTTTGGACTGTAATATTATAATCAAATAAGCAATATTCAATCCCATTTGGAGTAAATTCGTTTACAAATATCTATGAATCTTTTTCTACACGTTGTACGAAAACTAATAAATATATATTTTATTTGTATGTTAAAGCATAGAACATTGATAGATTTGACTAGATTTAAGTTAAAAATAGACATCAAGTGTTCTAGAATATCGGTAATTATTGCTCTAATGAGGGTATACATTAACAAGTGCCGTACAGTATACCGATAATATAAATAAGTTGGTTCCTTCAATTGTATGAGATAAAAAAATAATCTCTTACTTTAGGGGTACCGGAAAATAAAATAAAACAAAAAAGAAAAAAAAAAGAAAAAACAAAATTTATTTATGTACAGAAATAACATCTTTGGTTTTCAATTATCGTTTTTAAGTTTGGAAGGTCCAGAATTTGCAAGCGGGCATTTTTTTTTACTTTGGCAGTAAATGCTGGAGTGATAAGCGATGATGAGTTGGTAAGGTAGCGGTGATGAGTGACTAGTGCAGTGATGAGGGCTAAGGCCACAAACAGATTTACGTTTTGACTTAGCTGCGTTCGTCGTTACAGCACTGTCGCTGGGATGTCCTCCTCCTGTCGTCATTACGAATGTGAGTTAACAATTTGATCCTGCTTTAAATAAGCAGCTCCAGAATTCAGACCATATTATCAAATGCGAATCAAACATTTTTGCTATATTCAAAGAACCCTGACATGTAACTGATCTAAAAGTAGTAAACGCTTGGTATGACATATTTCAATGAATAAAAAATCTGATTTGCATTTAATATCGTTTATTCTGAAACTGCATGTACCCATTGCATTTTCCTTTTTTGTTTCAATTTTTTAAATATAATTTTAATACCGTACAAATTTCTCATTCCTGTAATCCAATAAAGATGGGGTTTTTTATTAATATTACAATACTAAGATAAAAGTATAAAAGGAAAAAGTCTAAAGTCTAAGGGGAACTTTTTGGCAATGGACGGGAACAGACTGTCAATTGACATTATCGATATTCCCCAAACTAACCAAACGACACACTGGCTAGTGCACAAAGGCTGTTATGCCCCACGCATTTGATATAAATATCATAAAGCGTTCTTATTATTTGCAAGAACACACGCACACACTAAGTTTTAGTAAATTGAGCAATTTGTGTTATAATAAATTCTCAATTCCAATTTTAAGTCGTTGTCAAATTGGCGCGCTAAAAGATGTCAAGCGATTGTTAAATTTATAATGTAATGGCGTCATTTCGCCGCCATTTTAAATGGTCAATGTTAATGACATAATGATGACTCTTGTATGTCAGTCTGAATTGTAACTAAATATTTGTAGTTTCTTGGAACGAAGTTCCTTATTCCACGCTCTGAGCGGATGAGAGCGAGACCGAAAACCGTGTAACAAGACTTTTTCCTACATTTCTTGCGGAACTTCGTTCCGACCGGGGGTCCATTTACCCCTCACGGCGTTTTAGTTCTTACCTTAGTAAAGTAAACATGCAAAAAATGTATAAAATGTCAGTAAGAAAGTGATGCAGCCCTTACCTATTTGTTTATTTTAATCGACTATTAGCTAAATTAATAAGTGCTAAAAATCAAGACTAAAGCTTGACAGTTCCCTATCAAATAAAAGTAATAGATTTCTTAGATTTACAATTTCATAGAAGAATAGTGTTAATTTTCTTTATTCAAAGTCAACTGATAATTTTCCTGGGTAAGTCTCTTCCTTGGTCGATGTGGAAGAAACAAAACCGCTTTAGGACCGTGGTGGATTGCTGCAAGCTCAGTATAATCTAGTAGGGCTATACTGACGAGACTTGCTTTCTTGGTCAACGTGCTCCAGCAACATGCACATTGAAAAATCTGAAGGTTGCTACGATAAATAAATATTGCTAGATCCTGATCTCGGTCTATCTAAAATACTACAATTTGCCTTCGCCCCTCAGAAGACAAGGCATGAAGACCAATGTAGCTGTAAATATTTAATTAGGAAAGTGACATGTGCCAAGAAAATTAAAAAAAATATAATAATGAAAATATAAAACTTCTAAGTTCAAAGTCGTTCTTGTAGTTTTCTCTAGTTTCACATTAGGCCTTGTTTCGTAAAATTTGTTCTAGAATTTCTTGAAACTACGTCCCTATTATTTTTTATTTTATTGTTAAGCTTTTTCTGTCTACGAAAATCGTTGTTACGGCATGACTTGACATTGACATGTGTTTTCAACTTCCAAATCATCAACTTTCGTTTTTCCAGTGAATGATTGTCACCAAGCCAATCGTCATTTGTGCTTATGAATAGTAATGATATCTGCCGATTCAGTAGCCGAAATAATGGTCTTATTTGCCTTACCTCATGTTCAGAGGATACTTGTGCAGAAGCGGAACCCTTTGTAAAAAGGGCGGATTAGTTTTAGGGGATAGCATCAAACCATGCTTACACCCTCATTCTCAATACTGTGACGTGTATACCCAAACAATTACATTGTCATCCGCAATAGGTAGCAGTTCGTCCGCTAGGGTCAATTCCGGCAGTGACCCTTCAGAGATTGCAGGAGTTGTGTCCACTGTACTGCGGCCCAACTGTAGAATACGCTCGTTCTGTATAAACACACAAAAATATGGCAACTAAGTAAATCATCCATTTCAAGGGCAAACACGATATCTATTTATAAGAAAATAAAACTGCCCTACTTCCCTTTCTAAGGAGAGGCCTATGTTCAGCAGTGGACTAATAAAGGCTGTTTATGATAATATTTTACAGAAAACCGTTGTCAAGCGTCGTTCATTCATAGCTGTTCACCGAGTGAGTGACGTTAATGAAGTCTTAAGACAACGCATGTGTGGTAAAAATAAACAGTGGGACTCCGGGAGTGCCGACAGAAGAGAAAACTTGAAAATATATATTATTATGTGGACATGAATATATATACACGGTGATTTTGAAAGCGTTTTGGAAAAGAAAATTTTGAGTTATTTATCAGTAACAGAAGCTATATATAACGTTAATTTAATAAAATATATTTTTTTTATCATCAAAGTCGATATTCATATCGTTTACAGAGAAAAAGTCAGAACCAGTAGTAGTAGGCTATTCAATCACACGTAGGTAAATACTACGAATAGAAATACTATGCGTTTTAATATCGAGTCACATCAAATCGTATTCGCCAATAAAAACAAAGCTACCGAGTTGCGCCGGAGTCGTCCAACCAATGACGTCTGCCCCGTAGGCGCATGCGCGGGGCTCACCTGTCATCGTCAGTCGGTCAGTAATACCATAACATCGTGACGGCACGCTGCATTGATTAGCGCTAAAATGAGTCGACAGTACGAATTTTCAAACGTGGAATACTTCTTGGCAATGGTACAGCTGTACGCTACTGCCAACTACAACTTGGAAGAGGCTCGGCGTTTGTATTCCCAAGCCGGAGCATTTAAATGCACTACGGCTACGTGGAATTGAAAGCCCTCAAATTCCCTCCACACCTACCATCTTGGCTGCAACCCAACGTCTTCTCGACCACGGACAATTTCGTGCGCCTACTCATGCGCAAGGTCAAGGACGTTTTAATTATTATTCGCCGGAGTGTAGTGCGTGCATACCTGGACAATGAGCTTAGTGATCGGACTTAACGCCCCTGGATTTTTTCTTATGGTCGGAAATAAAAAGACTTGTTAATACACGGGAATATGAAAGCCGTGATAATTTACGCATTGCGATAGTGGACGCTTTAAAGTGAAAAGTGATAGAGACACATTAAGAAAATTAAAAAACAATTGCATTAAACGTGGACGTTTGTGTATTGAATGCAGCGGACTCCATTTTGAGCAGTTCCTTCGATACAGAGAACTGTAAATAGTGTAAATAGGTATGTAAGTTAATTATTCTGTAGATAGCTCCGATTATTTAAATACGCCTGAAATATTTATACCTACAGTCCGTTGATAAATTGATTTGTTGTGAAAAGAACAATCGTGGTTAATAATCGAAAAGAAGTTTAAATAAAATAGGTATTTCTGACGGTCCTAAGCCCGTGTAAAGTATGAAGGACAAATTGGAGTCTATCTACGTAAGTACTCGCGCCTATAGGTATAGTTTTGTCAGCTGCTGTTAGCGTCGGCGGTGCGCAGCGGCCGCCGAAACGCCCACGGACGTGTTTCATTCATATAAGATAATGAATGAATGATCAGTCCATTCCTATTTTCCAAGTCGATCGAGTAAAAATGAATATTAAAACTGAAACTTTTTTTTAGACAACATTACAATTGATTTAATCATTTTTATTGGTACTATAGATGATTCCAAATTCAAATATTTCGTTTCCAAAACGCTTTCAAAATCACCGTGTATATCTATGTTGTACGTATATACACAATACATGTATATATTATAAATAGTTATATTATCAATGTATTTTTAACCGAAACTCAACTCTCGTGTAAACGTGGCCAATATATGTAGATACTTAATATACAGAGGTGTCGGTAACGGCAACAGTGTCGCGAGTTCAATGGTATTTTCCCACCTCAAAAAATACTTTCTTTTGTTTGTTGTTTAAAAAATGCCAACGCGCCTCAAGAATTCTCAATTCTCTTTGCATTGCTTTATTAATTTATTCAGTTATAACTTTAGACAGTCTCTATAAGAACTCAAATTCAAATACACGAATTTGCATATTTGTTATTTCATATTATGTTCATTTTATACTTATATGTTTTTGTATTTACAGTATATTAACCTTAAACGTTATTAACGATTTGTAAATTCTGTACTGTATACATTTTAGAAATGGTATTTATATGTGTGTAAAGTAATCCACTAATTTATAACATTTACCTCTGTCTTAAGTCTATTGAGCAGTTTATCTCGTTCTGTCCTGAGCATGTCAGATCTGTTTGTCTCACTTTCATCTAGTACACCCTTCACTTCGAGTTCTGCTATTTGGGAATCCTTCTCGCTGATTGCAGACTCCAGGATGTCTTGACTGAAAAAACAGATAACATTGAAGAACATAGTTGATAATCTTACTTGTAAACTATTGCCTTTCATAATATGTAATTTTGTTTACGTGAATTCGTGGGAGAAAGATGCTTCTGCAAATGTGGGCCAGGCTCGATCAGAGAATCGGGGAGAAGGGAGTTTGGGCTCTGGTAACTTTACTCGCTCAGTGACAAGCAGCAAAAGAATTGATTAATACTGGTTCTATAAGGCCGTGGTATTACTCCGGTCTAGTCTGGCCCATTTGTGCCGAAGTATAGCTCTACAGAACTGCAAAAAAAGGAAGACTTGACACAAACCCTATACCAACCCGCCTGGCCAGGGTGGCCTACTAGGCCAAACCATCCTCTCTAAAGAGAGGCCTATGTCCAGCAGTGGACTATTAAAGGCTGTTGATGTGATAGCTCTTTCAGGATAAAAAGGTATGTACAGTAAGAAACATGTACGGATATGTAATGTCTATACACCCCGAAGACGGAGAGACCTGGGTTTTTACTAACTTTACAGTTTATATTAGACATGAGACCAAATCACAGTGAACTGTAATTTATCATTAAATTTTTGGTTACGTAGGGCTGGTAGGTAGAAACGTTAGACGCTATTTAACAGTAGGTAAATGTATGTGTGTGGTATTACGACGTATACACCAAATTCCAAGATAGTTGGTATTTAACAAAACCACTATCGTTTATCACCCTACCATAAATGCACCTACCTCATTCTTTCTCAGCACCGCCCAATCGGTCGACTGGTAGAGAATGCCTTAGGCATTAAGTCCGCCGATGCATGTACTTGTACAAAAAGTTATAAATAAATAAATAAATCTAGTATTTTTTTATTGTGTGTAAGTGGTAACCCTAACCCGTTTCCGCGTGGTGACGGATTAAGAATGCGAAGTGTTACCACCCCAATTCATCCCGTAAGAGCCGCCTAAGGGACCAAACAACACACGACTACAGCACTGCAAAGAGAAGGAAAAACTTGACACAAACCCATTACCAACCCGTCTGGCCAGCGAGAGGCTTTTTAAAGAGAGGCCTATGTCCAGCAATTGACAAAGGCTGTTGATGATTGATGAAGATGATGAAGCGTGTTGTATATCGTGTCAAAATTTGAGCTCTTGATCGTTGTGAGTTTTTGAAGCGTACACAAACCAGCTCAACATTTCTATAAATATATACATGTATACAATATATACATTCTATAAATATATGCGTGCTATAGTAGGCCCAACCCTCCTTTTACTACTAAAGGCTGTTTATGTGATGATGATGTGAGTAACCCTAACCTACGTACGAAAAAATCGAATGACAAATCACCGTTCATTCACAGTTTACTGTGATTTTTTCCCATCTATAGTTTAAATTATGTTAATTGTTATAAATAACTATTTCTCATGTAGAACTTACATAGCATGGGATAGCTGTCGCAACACATGGTCTCTACTGGTTTGACATTGGGTGAGCTGTTCTTCTAGCTGCTTCAAACGCTTAAGTACAGAGGAACAAGTTTCACAATTCAGCGCTGAAGCGTTTCGCAGCGAACGGATCCGTTGCTCCATTTTACTCATCTGGAAAACATATTGTCAAGTATTAAATTAATGCAGTAACTGTGGCAAATATTTATTGAAAGTAATTAATGTACAAATATTAAACAATTATCCTAGTTTTGACGGCCGGATGGAGCACTACTCCATCCGGCCGTCAAACGTAACGTAAACGTAACGTAACGGTACGGTTGTGTAACGGACTGTTACGCCAAAGGTCACGGGTTCGATTCCCGCTCTAGTCAAACCCTTTTTTTTTCTGTGCGGAAATGCCCTCGGCTACCACGGTGGTCATGTCGGACTCGAACCGAAAAAAAAAAGTCTAGGTGTTTCTATTTATCCTCCGACGCGTCGCCATCACAACAGTTGTGACACCAAATTTTTACGCGGTAGCGTTTCTGTCACAACATTATAAAATAACGTAGATATTGAGGTAATAATGACTTCGCTCAGCTGTGACTGGGTCACTAGTTCCTAAGAGTTATAATACGAGTATGTATGTATTAAAAAAAAGAGAATATTTGTATTTATATCAATAGTGTAGTACCCATAGTACAAGCTGTTCTTAGTTTGCTAGATGGCGTTGTGTGAATGTGGTAGAATATTATTTTTATACATAGGCAAACTTAGAAGGGGACTATACAGAAAATACCTTTCGAAGGAACAGTTGTATAATAAAGTTTAAGACTCGTTTAAGACATTAAAATAATTGAAAGAATAAATTACCTTTCTCAAAGTTTCAATTCTCCTCTGTTCTTCTTCATAAAACACCTTTTCTCTCTCCGCCGCTATCATGAACGATTCCTTCAAAGCTTCCTCCAGCTCCAGTATCCTTCTGTCTTTACAATCACTTGCGTTCATAACACATTTCTTATTAACTATTTTCTCTAGTTCATTTATCCTTTCATCTTTACTTCTCACAACCGCCAATAATTGTTCAAACTCAGCTATATTGTTATTCTCTCTTAAAGCTTCTTCTAAAATTGATATACATCTTTGCTGTTCTATAATTTTTGAGTTCTTGATGCTTATCTCTTTCAACATATCGGATATTTTTCTCGCCAACTTACATACGTTAGGCGGTTCTTTTTTCTCTCTAAAGTGCAAATCTAAGTCATTATCACTTCTACTAAATCTGCATTTATCAAGCCTATCCACTACCTTACCACTCTTTTGCAACTCGAAAAAACTCTTACTTCTTTTTATACTACTTATCTCAGGCCCATCAGACATCTTTAAAATTTCTGACAGAATAAGCGACGATTCGTTAAGTTCTATCTCTAAATCGATAACTTTCAGTTTGCTCTCCTCCAAATTTGTTTTGAGTACATCTTTCTGTGACAGAATACTCTCAAGTTCCCTCATCGTTGCTAGTTCACTCTGCCTCGCGCGCGTCAGTTCCTACCGCAGGGTTTGAAATTTGAAAATAAATAAGAAACAAAAAAAAAAGAAATCAATGAAAACGAATAGTTTTACTTCAACAACCAAATTTCTCAACAATATAAACCCAAAAATAACTCGAGAAAGGTCAACATAGAGTTAGCTGTAATTATAGTTACTGATATTCGCATAACAAGAATAAAGCTGGGTAACATCGACTAGTGGACAACTTACTCGATCTACCTAGATACATGTTTACTTAACAGTTTTACAATATTGTATTTTTATTACTTAAAAAATAATTCCCACTGAACACGATTATTTATTTGTTTTTAAACATCACTTAAATTATTTCTAAACTAATAATTATCGTTATTGTGTGCAGGTTACAATGTACGATTTGAGGAGTGAACGGCGTTCGGACTATCAACAAGAGATCAATGTATTATTATATGAACACTTTGTTATAAATATTCAATATAAATATTGATAACATTACTTAATACGAAATTGCATTTGTAAAGCTTACGTGATGTTTACCGAAAGACGTGGCATATGGATGTCGCTCGAACCTTAGTCAGACAGTTAAAGAAAACGTTTAAATGAAAAGAGCAAATAAATGAACGACAGTCTTGGTGCGAAGGACTAACTTAGAAAAAGCTTTTGAGGAAGCCAGCGGGTCCGGCCTGCGTGGAACAAAAGTTATTCAGGTTAGTTTATTAGTTATTTTACAAACAATATTCTGTGAACGGTTAATATTTCAAACTGTTTTGTCAGTTTATTAATAAAAAAAGCAAATTACCAGTAACATTTAAGCCTTTATTTATTTCTAGTAAGTAACCTTTGAAATTTTAACCACTCAACTGTAGTTAATAAAGTATTAAACCAGGTTAGATTATCATAATGTTTAAAATTGGGCGTAATCAGTGGGCGTAAAATCAGCATAAATTACAATTTTCGATTGCTTTAAGAATTGTTAAGTGTATTGAAAAAGTCTACAGATATTAGTTTTTCTTTCCAAAGACTAAATTCAATACTAAGCTTTATTTTTTATTAACATGTACAGTTGCATTTATATATTAAGTATTTTGTTATACATTGCATGCAAATGCGTACATCATCAACAAATCATACACAAAATATATTTTTCGTTAAACATTTAAGCAATGAAAACAATCATTTTTGTTTGATTTTTATCGTTAATAGGTATAGTTATAGTTTATACTATAAATTGAACATACCTCTTCTCTTTGTGCTTGTGCTTGTTGCTGACTTTTTAGTTTGGCTTGAAGATTTCGTACAGACCTGAAAAGTTACATTTTAAATCATAATTCTCTGTATCTATATTGTTAAAACATTAATACTTAAACAAATGTTTCCTCTAAAATTGTTTAACAAGACAGATAGACGGACAGAAAAACTTTAGTTAAGGTTAGTTTAACAATAGTCGTAATTTTTTAAATAAGGTAATGAAAGATCCATTTGATCTCTTTCATACATTTCATTGTAATAAATATATTTTATTATAACTACGAAACGAAAACGAAAACCACCCCTATTCATCCCGTGGGTGTCGTAGGAGTTGGCAAAGATAAGCAGCAATGAGAAGGAAAACTTGAAACAAACCCTATACCCGTCTGGCCTGCGTGGTATAGTAGGCCAAAACCTCCTTTCTAAGGAAGAGCCTATGTCCAGCAGTGGACTAGTAAAGGCTGTTGATGATGATGACGACGATTATAACTACGTAACACCGATTGTGTTACGTAGTTGACTTCGTAGGATCACTGTTTGTGATATTGCACTATATATAATATTATATCATCGACATAGTTTTTTGCTGCTGTTGATTTTAGTAAAAATAAGTAACCATTTATTTGAAGAAATTTAAAGAAAGTAATCCATAATTGATTGGCTAATTGTTTGGCAGATTCTATGTACTTTGCGCATAACAAGTTTTTAAAACATTATACATCTCTACGGTATAATTTGTATTGATCGAAGAATTAAATTAACAATTGGCAAACAGTCTGTCAAATTTCTATTTTGTTGCGTTGCGTTTTGTATATTTGTAAAAAGTCTCGTATTTCTACCAGCATCACAATATTTTAGTTTTTGGTTTGATATTTTTTGACACTGTAACTCAATTTTAAATTGGAGCTCTAACCCTACTGCAGCATGTAACCAGGCGATATCCTAACCAACTGAGTTTTTGATAAATCTTTTTGCTACGTAAATCGACCTATCTTCGTTAAAGGTTATGTATGGAGCTATGTACCGAGATTTCTATCTTGAGAGTTATTTTTATAGACTGGTGTTATATAAATGAAAAACAACTTTACTCACTGTTGCAACTCCATGATAGCCTTTTCCTTCTGAGCTGCCTCTTCTTGCGACATCTGCACGAGTTGTAACAAACGTTCAGTATCAGCGGTTAATCGTTGTGCTTCTTCCTTGCTCTGGTCTAGCAATGTCTTGAGTTGTTCAGCCTCTTTTTGCGTATCGGTTAGCTTTCGATTTAAATCTGATACCGCTGCTGCACTGCCGCCAGCCTTGAATTAAAAAATAACCATTGCTAAAGATCATAACGCAAATGCGTATTGTAATACTAAGCTCATGTTTAGTAGTTAATTTTAGTTATTTAAATTAATCAAAAATCAATGAAATATTTTAGTGATAAATTGTGTTTTTTTTTTATTGGGGCTAATCCCACCCACACGCCCACCACTGTAACTCCTGTACATCAGGATCCACAGCAGTGACCTACGAACAGATCGAGTTATGACACTCGGGAAGTCCCAGGAAGAAATTAAACTGTCTTGGAACCCGAAACGAAATTAATCAGAAGAAAATTGGAGGAGTTGGAAATACAGTAAATCCACTTCCCTCCTTAGCAAAGCGGGAGACAAAATGAAGTAAAATAGGCATACACCCTTTTAAACAATAATAAATTGTGGTATTATTATCTTATTATTAGTAAAAACATAACAAAGAAACAAAGTTACGTTGGTATTAATACCATCTGGTATAATCTTTTGGTCGAGTTGGGGACGGAAATGTTCGTCATGTTCATAGCAACTTACTCTTTAACAAAAATTGTATTTACTGCGTGTACCGTATACACTATCCGCTACATAACTTTGCAGTATGACTGCAATTTGTCATAAATATGTTACGTTAATCAGCTTAAGATACTTTATTCAGACTGAGGTAGAATACTTATTTTGTATTTTTAGTAATATATTATTTAACACCTTATGAACAGATGAACGAATGAACGAATAAAAACGTTGACTTTGATAGATTCAAATTCAAATTATATATTTGCTATAAATGGTGATATAAATGATGATTGATGACTATAGATAGATTTGTAAATTATAGTTGTCCCATAACCTCTAGGAGTTTGTGTATTTTGTGATATTTATTGTTTCCAAAAATTATTTTAATAAAATCTCTTCAAACAAACAAACAAAAAAAAAAAAAAACTACGCAGGACAACAACACTGTAAAAGGCCAAAACCTCCTTTCTAAGGAGAGGTCTATGTCCAGTAGTGGACTGTTAAAAGCTGTTTTATGTGTGTGTGTGTGTGTGTGTGTGTGTGTGTGTGTGAGTGTGTGTCAATGATGACTGAATTTATCTATAGAACATAAAAAACCGTAGTGGTTTAACCATACCTTCCTCAAAGACGCTTCCATTTGGTCCATTTGCTCTTTTCTCTTCTTTAACTGTCGATCTAACTCTGCTAACGACTTTTCCTTCTCCTCCACGTCTTTCCTCTTGTTTTCCACTGCTCTTCTATGCTCCTCAAATTGTCTCTTTGCATCTTCTAACTTCTTAAATTCCTCTTGCAGTTGCTTTTTAGTTTGGGCTGTGTCGTCCCCAGCTTTGGCGTTTTGCGCGCCCGCTTGCTGTAATTTCTTCGTCGCTTCGCGGAGATCGACCTGTTTCCGACAATCATGTTTTAGAAGACCAAGGTCATGTTAATTAGGGCACACTTACATTAGGCAAACAGAATTGTGCAGTAGGTTTGCCAGTCGAGACCAAGTTACATATCATTAAGAATAAATAAGGCATAGTTATAGAGCAATAACTTTTGGATACCTACGAAATATCTGTATTATGTTGTATTAAATCATTTTATTCTTTGATTAAATAGTAAATCACGCTGATATTACTCAACGTGTGGTACTTAAAAAGCAAACAGTTTACCACGTTCTGTTTGGATAGCGTAATAGTGCCACAAGAATTAGTTTCAAAATCGTAAAAGCCTAAAAAAGCTTACATGACACATCGCAAATATCAATTCAATAAGCGTAAAATTTATTTTACAAGTAACTGCAAAATATATTTTATTGAGTCGCAGCCAAATAATTTAATGATAAATAGTCCACCCAAATACATTTATTTATATGAACAATGGTTGCAAATATACACAGTACAGTAGCTGAAAAAAGATATGTAAAAGTAACAATTCTTCATAACGAAGCTGCAATTTTCTCGCACCGAACATTTAAGCCACCAATACAAATAAATACTATTTTACCACAAAATTTTCACAATGGTAATGTATCGAAAAATGTCTGTCACAACTATGCCCTTAACTAGTATCATTTAAAATCTTGGAAAATAATACGGTTTAATTTTAACAGCTAAACATAATGGATTCTGGATTGGTTGCGTAAGGCAGGCCTTAGACAACAAATCCAGAATTATCAACTGAAATTTTAAAGTCAAGTTGTTTTAATATCGTTTGAAATCGTTTCTGTTAAAAGCCATTCACAGTATCTACAATCACTTGGCAGAACTGTTTTGTATCAAAAATTATTTAGACACAACGATTGCGACTTTTAAACTTTTGTTTATTAGTGATTTAACTTTACGATGTTTGAAGTTTGACAATTTTGTGGTATGATAGTAGGTTTACATTCCCGGTGCAATGAAGATGTGGTGCAACAACTTTGCCTCTCACACATACAAAGTTCCATGTTTTGAAGATGAAACTAACAAAATAAATACAAATGAGGGGTTGGAGGATGCCCAGCGGGCTGTGGGTGACATGCTACGACACTATACAACAACAATGCCCGGCGATGAAGTAACAAAAACATGACATCCAAATAAAAAATATCTATCTATCCTGTGCAATGATCGAAGCAGACAACGTTCGTTCGCGGCAGTTCAATCCAGTTTCCAGTTCATTCAGTTTATTAAAAAGAGTTACTAACACATTGAGATTTCATAATTTGCGTAGTTTAAATAGATTGAAGTACAGTTTTTAATAGTTTTAAACACATTTCTATTAAATAAATAAAGATCATAATCATATCATAAAAGATCTTCAATTTTAAAAAAAATATTAAAAAAGGGCGCCAATTAAAGCTGAACATTAGCAATTAAACATGAGCTTAAATAAAGAGCCGTTATAAAATTCAATGTTTTTAAAAGTAACCTTATTTATATATATATATATATACGGCTGTAACTTAATTCTTCTTATAAAAATAATTATTTTGTAACTATTAAAAACTGTGAAAACTATTTGTATATTCGACTGTAAATTCGATTGAACCACTACGCGGCACTCCGCTCTCGCCGGGCGATCCTCCAACTGACCTGGCTTTTCTCCAATTCTTGGACAAGCATCTCCAGTTGTGCTTGACATCGCTCTCTTTCTACTGCATGCGCCCGAGTTTCGGCCTGAGCTGCTTCAAGTTGCTTTTGTACTTCTCTCACGTCGGCTCCTCCACGTGCGGTCATTTGTTGCAATTGTTGCTGTTGAGCATGGAATTGTTTCTCAAGACCATGTAAGCGTTGCTGACACTCAGCCAATGCTCTTTCTGCAGCGATAGCTTTAGATTTTTCTTGTTCAACTGCCGCGCGCCATTTTTCCAGTTCACCAACTTTTTGAGCCTCCTTCTCGGCCTTTTCTGCCCTGTGTCTAATTGATTCCTTTTCTTTACTAACAAGTTGTACTTGTTGTTGCAACTTGGCAATTTCCCTATCACGATTTTCAATGGCCGTCTTTGCGCCGCGTTCAGTATCCTGTGCCATCTTACGCTGCTCGTCTTTCAGTCTCCGTACTTCTTCTCTTTGTTTTTGTAACTCTGCTTCCGAAGCGTTCAATTCGCGTTGGAAATTTACTAGCATATCTTGTGACTTTTCTAGTTGTGCAACTAACTGGTCCCGTTCAATAGTAAGTTGCTTTGTGTCAGCTTCCAGCTTTACTATTTGTTTTTCTATGGCATCTGCTTGTTGGTCTCTCTGCTCCAATATAGACGCCATTTTTTCTCTGTCCCTTACGGACTGGGCTAATTCTTGCTGAAGTTTTACTAGGGTTTCTTGTGTTCGATGATCCAGAGTTCTCTGTTGTTGTTCGACATTACGTCTCGTATTTTGAATTTCTACTCTCAGTGCATCTCTTTCTTGTTCTATTTGTCTCATCTCTAAGATTGTTCGTTCTAAACGTTCATGCATGCGGCCAAGCTCATTTGTCATCCTATCATATTCTACACGAGTGGTTTCATTAGTTTCTTGGTATTTGGCAAGATGCATCTGAGATTTTTCGAGTTCTTTAGCTAAACGACCAGCTTCCATTTCCGTCGCGTCTCTAGCTTGAATCGCTTTCTCAAGTTTATCTCGAAGGCGCTCAATTTCCAGTCGGTCTTCAGTTCTTGCTTTATCTCCAGCAACTGCTTGTAGTTTCATCCTTTCAATTTGTTGCAGTTCCCCTTTAAGTCTCTCATTATCCTTATCCAGTTGATCTGATCGCAATTTGAGCTTTTCACACCGATCTCTAAACTTTTCACACTCAATATGAGCACGTTCTAATTCCGTTCGTTGCTTCTCCAATGCTGCACTTAGTTTCGACACTTCACCTTTAGATATTTCTAACTGTATATTCATTTCATGGAATTTGGTTTCAGCTTGTTCCTTTTCTCCTTGTAAACGTTGAATATCAGCCTGTGACGATTCGTAGCGTTCCCTAGTCTTATCAAGTTCAACCTGTAGTCGGTTTATTTCGTTGGTCCATTTGTCCTGTTCAAATTGGTATTTACCTCGCACACCTTCGACGCGTTCAAGCTCCGTTCGTAGACGGACCACTTCTTCTTCTGCCTTTCGCGCCCGCTCCAGATCAAGTGTAGTTTTTTCCAATCTCGTTCGAAGTCGTTCTACCTCCAACTTAGTCCTTTCGTGCTCTTCTTTGGAGTCATGATACTTTCCATATCGAGCTGCATATCTTTCAGCTTCTTCTCTTGCTCCACTGGCGTCTTGTTTCACTTTATCCAGTTCAGCTTGTACCCGCCTCAGCTCAGCTGATACTTTATCATGTTTGTCATACATCTTTTCAAGCTCTACTTGCACTCTAGCCATTTCTTCTTGCGTTTTTTCATTTGAGGCCTGCGCTTTACCACATTGTGTCATAGCCCTGTCATATTCAAACTGTAGACGTTCACTGTCTGCTATCAACTTTTCTTTCTCAGCTTGCAATCTTCGTAATTCAATTTGACTTTTTTCGTACCTATCACGCACCATTTCGATATCAACACTTAGCCTATCCATATCTTCTTTTGCCTTTTCTTCCTGTTCTTTTGTCCGGCCGAGCTGCAAAGACGCCCTATCATACATTTCTTGGAGTCTAGCCAATTCATCCTGCAATTTTCTTTGATCGTCTCTCGATTTGGTTGCTAAATGAGAGTGTTTCTCTAATTCTAGTTCTAAACGATCCTTGTCCGCTTCCAGTATGTCTATCTTATTTTGCAGACGGTAGATTTCATTTTGGGACCTGGAATAAATAAAAACTTCATACAATGTAATTGTAAGGATTTTTATAATAGTTACTAGTGCAAACATCGCCACCAACACAAGACGACATGTACTGTGTTACAACTTTAGGAAGTCAACTTAGTCATGGTCCGTTTTTGTTTGTCTTTATAATAGGAACCGAGACTTAGTTTTCTTTCTATATTTGTATTACAGTGAAATAAAAAGTACCTATCATACTTCTCAAGCATTTTTTCGTATTCTTTGTGCGCGGTCTCTTTTTCTTCAATAGTTTTTTGTGTGGAATACAAGGCTTTATCCAGTTTTTCTTTCATAATTTCTAATTCTGTTAATGCATCATCTCGTTCCATCTGAAAGTATACATTACAATTAATTTAAAAGGTTATGAGGACATGTAATATATATTGAGTGGTTCAGACTCTTTTGTTAAAATATATTTAAAGAAACTAGGTTGGAAACTATACCGGTAAATTGAACTAGTCAATTTACTTGATTAGAAATGAATAATTAATTACTGGAATATAACCAAAATATATTTATGTTTAACTTGAACAAATCAATTGTTGTAATCGCATTTGAGCTAGGAGGAAAATAGAGCATGAAATGGTGACTAATAATGAGAAAATAGATCAAGTAAGAATTGCTTACTGTCAGCTTCTGGTGTTGTTGATGTGCTTTCTCCCATCGTTCTCTTAGAACATCCAGTTCGGTGGCTGCACTATCCCTGTCCCTAGCAGCTCTGTTAGCGGCAGCGGCTGCCGCTTCGGCCCGTTCGCGACAGCTAGCTGCTTCAGCGAGGGCTGCATCACGTTCTTTTTGGATGCGAGCTATCTGACTCTGAAAAGAACAGATGTAAAAAATGATTTTTGTGTTAATTTTATAATTTACACATTCCTTAAAAATATTTTCAGCTTAAATATGTAGTTTTCAGTTATTACAATATTGATCAATTTTATTAGCACCCGGTCTATTGCAAAGTCCCTTTGGTAAACCATAAGACGAAAGCCCTGCAGACCATGGCCGCTGTTAGGACTGTAGGCATCTATACAGTGGAATGCAGGGCTGCCTTGTTTGGTTTAAACAGGCACGCACATGACACGTCGCTCATAAAATATATTGAAATAAAGAACATAAAAAAGATAACTTTAATAACTTATCACATTCAAATAGGTTGGTTGCTCCGTACCTTTTAAATCTTTGCTTTTTAATTAGACAGATTTTAAAAGTGCGTTAGTACTTTACAAGTATTCATAGCAGTATTATGTTAAAAACTAAATAGTTTACAATTCAACCCTAACTTGACCAAAGATATAGAGCCGCATAGTTTCATGTAGAAATTCGGGACGGGCCATTGCGATTTCTTGGCAAGATTCCACAGTGTCATGACAAATGGCTATTAAGACTCCTGTCTCCGGATTTACAACCAATAAACATGGATCCTGCTACCAAACACTGAATAAAATTTTTACTAGTGTTGACTATACAAGTATATTGTAATATTTTATTGCGCATAACTGAATCGTCCTGTGGTTAAGTTGTTTAGTAAAAACAAATCTTATGATATCAGGAATTGACGATCAATTGAAAATAGAAAAACGTACGAGTTATTATGAAGCTCCTTGTTCTAAATTATTTATATTTTTGCATTAGAAAGTAAAGATGAGTAGTAAGATAAGACGTTCGAAGTTATTATTTCTGCCTCGATGGCGCAGTGGTAGTGTATGCAACTGCTGTGCTGAGGTCTCGGGTTCGATTCCCGGGTCGGACCAAATGTTTGTAAGATCTGCAAATATTTGTTCGGAGTTTGGGTGTTTGCTATGTATAATAAGTAAGTATTTACAAAAAAAAGTAATTAAGTATTCTATCAGTCAATCTAGCTTTCATAGTACAAGCTTTGCTTAGTTTGAAACTAGATGGCGTTGTGTGTCAGATGTCCCTTTTTTTTTATTAATTACTAATAGACGTATACAGCAACCGCCGCTGCCGCTATTAAATTTGTATGAATATAAATTAATAGTGAATTTTACGAGATTCTATTAACTGTTTTTATTTGTCTAATACACAAACAATCACATACTCGTTTTTAATTATTAACAATCAGTTTTAAATAATACTGAATTCAATAGATACAATACACACACTGAGTACGCTGTTGTAGACACACTCTACTTTTCAAGTACAGATACTAAGTACAACACTGTGTATATCACTAAAGTAACGATATTCATTGAGCTCCAACTTTAATTGGTTTTGCTATTAAGAGTTGCAAATATTAACCAAAAAACCATCTGGTATGTTTTATATAAAAACTAGCTGACCCTGCAAACGTTGTTTTGCTATTTACATTACTTAAATATATTTTTTTTGAATTTCAAAAATCCGTTCTTAGCTGACCTCTACTCGTTGAAAAGAATATTCCTAAAAAATTTCAAGTCTTTAGCTATAATGGTTCCAGAGATATCGTGATGAGTGTCTATATACGTGGAAATCTCTTATATATATGTATATTTTGCTCGAAAGATTTAGCATTATTTTATAAATTACCTACCTATGTAGTTTTTTTGGGTTTAGTATCACGGGACTAAATTATCCCCACTCGCACTTCAGATACACCCCTTGCAAGTATTGTATCGTGTATTCTGACACACAGACTGTATGTACAAATTTTAGTAGATAACATATGGATATATATGATAATTTATGTGTTTCAACGATACACTAACATAATTTAAGTGTTAATCTCACTCTCGTTAAATCTGTTTACGTCTGTTTATTTTCACGGTGATGTGGAATTTTATTAGTTCTCATCCGTATTTACAAGTACTGTTGAAAAAGTTGCTGCTTGTAGTGTCGATATTTTGTGTAGGTAGTTTTAGGGCTTAAAGAACGTGATTTGTACAGAAGAGAATAGAAAGAACAGGGAGTTTACTTGATACATTAAGTGATTTTTGATCTTCACTGGTAACTAAAATACCCGAGTCACTTCGTCCCCGTCTCAGAAGGAATATATTTTCCCAGTTTTCGAAATATTTTTCACTGATAATCCGCTCCTATTGGACGTAGCATGGTATTATATAGCTTATATCCTTCCTTAATAAAAGGGCTATCCAACACTAAAATAATTTTTCAATTCGCAAAAGTAGTTCCTGAGATTAACCCGAACATACAAACTCACAAATTTAACCTGTATAATATTAGTATAGATGTATAATGTGAGTTTAAGACAAGGTGTATGTGGAAGGACTGAGTTAGCTTCTTTTGTCCCTTGCAATAGACTCACATGGGACTGAACACCGTGTGGTTTTAGTTGGTTCGATTCCGATATACCAATCCACCGTGAGCCCCGGTGAGGCGATGACCTGTGGGGGTTTCCACAATTTGAAAATAGTAAGTAAAAATAGTAAGTAAAAAATAGCAAGTAGTATCGTTAACATTTACTGGCCTGTTTGTCTAGTGGTTAGTGACCCTGACTACTAAGCAACAAATATTGTGTGATGAGCACGATCATTTGTTGTGTCTGTGTGTAATTTATCTATAATATGTATGTATTTAGAAATACATATAAGTATGTTTATCAGCAGTCTGGTTACCATAGCACATGCTCTGCCTATAAAGACTGCCGTGTCTGTGATGTGTGAAGGTATTATTATTTTTTGAAAGACAATTTTATTCAAATACTTATTTTACGCATTAACTCGTATAACTTTGCTTGTAATATGTACACAAAATAATAATAATATAAATTAAAAAAAAAATGTATTTCATAAAACAATTTCTAAAAATACCATAGAGTATCTTTTAATGTAGAGGTTTTAAGATAAGGAGCATTTCGTCAAACCCTCAAACGAACGCAAGGAAAAAAATCTTGCTTAATTTTAATTTAAAATTCATGGGATTTTGATTAAAAAAGAAAAGTAATATAAACCTAAATTATTTATTTTATAAACAAATATACATATTTTAAATTATATAGAACAAAATAAATATAATATTTTATACTTTAATAAACAAATACTCTTTGGAGGAACCATACTAAAAATATTAATAACTATGTTCCAATTTTAAAAACAAGTACCCAACGCTAATAGACTAAACAGAAAACATAAATGATTCAAACGAAAATAAAATAAGTTTTAATATCATAGCAACAATTTCAAATAATTATATTTTCTGACTAAAGAACCAATCGTCGTAATCAGTCCCAATCATACAATCCAATATCGTTAAAAGCATTTATTTAAAGTAGCTGGTAATCGATTAAACGTCATAGATAAGGGGAAACTTGATTCCAATCCAAGTGAACCATAGTCGATTAGAATGAACGATATTGTCGACTATAAAATATAGGCCTGAATTATTTATCTGTGTTATGAAAATGGTATTTAAACTATGGAGTGTAGAGGCAAGGAGAACCATCTCTTCGGGGGGAAAGTTGAATAAGTGTCTAGCTGTATACTGAAAATAGAGATCGCTGGCGTACGAAAAACATAGCTGTTGTAGACGGAGTGAAGTGTGCTGAATTAAAATAATATAATACTTATATTGTCTAAAAGTTACTACATGTTTATTTATTGTCTGTAAAATTATTTTATAATTTATTATTTTTAGATTATTTTCGCAGTCTAGTACACAGTGTCTAATTATTATTTAAGCCAATAAGCGTTTTTACGAACACTTTTCATACACAGAGATGGTTCTCCTTGCCCCTACTTTCCACAATTGAAACATGTATCCTTAATGCATTGTTTAATATATTTGATTAGCCTGCTGGTCTAGTGGTTAGTGACCCTAATGGTTAAGCCCGAGGTCCTGAGTTCAATTCAAATCGTAAGACAAATAATTGTGTGATAAGCACGATCATTGGTTCTGTGTTCGTTCCAGTCCGAGACTAACAGTTTCGCCTCACCAAGATCCTTCGCGCTATCCGTTTCCTTCGTCTAATTTACTTTCTACCTATGTTCATAGCGAGTATCTATATTCCCCAGGATATTATACATCAGACAGGCGGCGGGCTGTAAAAGAAATCAGCCAAAACCTATTGTGCCCCAATTAAATTGTGAAAAAGGTAGGCAAAGGATGAAAAAATAGGAAGCAAACGATATTTAAAGAATAGCAGAAGGAATATAGTGATTAAAACATTTATGTTGGAGTTTAAATATCGTTACGTTAAATCACCTCATGTTCAGAAGAAAATTATAATAAATACCTACCTTTTATATCCAATTCTTTTTTTTTTTTTTTTTTTAATATTATTCCCATTCATTTATCAAAAAAAAACTACGTGATAAAACTTCTTTGTACGCATTTTTAAGGAGATTTTGCGCATTTAGAAATACGAAATTTGGAGTACTTAAAGATTTTATTTAATAGAAGTGCAATTAGCTGCAATTTTTATATGACTTGTTGCGTGTGACTTTAATGATATAAAAAAGTCTATACATATGGCTTTTAAGGTTATACTGACCAATGTTACCAAAACACAACAGTTAAAAAGAGTTATGGTCAAAATTAGACCACCAATTTGCTAAATGATCTCTAGCGGGCATAGATTAAAAAAAAATCCTTGAGATCCCGCCAAGGATATATCCTTCTAGAGTTCAATATACTCTTGGATACCGACAGAGACTAGTAGTAGTCTAATTCTAGACACATACTTTATAGGATAATATTACACAAGCATGTCTAGACAGGACGGCGCTAGCCTGTCCTGTCTAGACATGCTTGTGCTGGCGCTAAAGATATTGTTCATGTCTGTGAGTTATTTCAGTTTCACACACTTGGAAAGCTTCATAAATAGAAATTACAGACATTATCTTCTATTATTTATACTGTTGTGAATAATCTTTCTTTTGTTACTTGAAAATGCTCTTATTTAAATGCCGCTACCGCAATAGTATTTTTAAAATTAATTTATCATAATAACAGTAATTACAAAAATAAAAATTATACATAAGCATTTATAGAAAACCTATGCGGTTTGTAAACAATGTTTAGTGTTAGTCTATGTCGCTAAATTAGTACCTTGGTAGTAAGTATAGTGTTTTTTTAATAGTTAGAACTTATTTGTATTTAATATTGGTTTATTGGCCTGTTATGTTGTTTAAAAAAAAACATATAGCGTAATAAGTTCTCTCTGTCATCTTTCGTCCCCTTGGCCGAAAAATTACCTCCAGGAGATAAACTCCCCTGGTCAACCTGGAAGGCGCTCAATAGGCTGCGTACCCAGGTTGGCAGATCCAAGGATAATATGTCAAGGTGGAGATTTATCGCCTCAAGCGCAAATTAATTTGACTGTGGCGAGTCCGCAGAGACAATTGGCCATTTGCTAACGTGACCCGCGAGGTCAGAATCATGTACGCTTGACGACCTGTATTAAGCAAGGCCAAACGCCATTCGCGTCGCCGAGCACTGGCCCAAAACCATCTAATGTGTTGCCATCGACACGAGAAGAGAAGAGATGTTTGTTTTAATTTGTACTACACACTGTAATTTTAACATTTATTAACCATCAGCTTTGAATGTTCAAAAATGTTATTATGGAATCAAATCTTAAAAACTTTTTAGGTGGAAACTAGAAGTCGAACCACTAAACTAAACTATAATTATGAGGCATCCCCTTCTTGCATGTGAGATTCCAAATTTAACAGAGCCTGTAGTGATAATCAGACAACAGTAACTAATAAAAAGACATTAGCTAAAAGATCGTACTCATCACCCAATTGTATGCCCTGGGTGAGCATCGACCTCACGACTCCCTCAATAAATAGGTTTAAAAGTATCTTACGTGGAAAATCAGAAGTATGGTAATCTTTTTTTCGATCATTTAATCTGCTTAACGGACTAACAAAAAAAAAACCATTTTAACGTTATGTTTTAACACACAGCATTACCGACTTGTATTTGAAGACCTGTGTACCACTGTGTAATGATAAACATATTTCTACTCTGTTTAAATTATTCATTTTCTGAAATTTAAGTACAATAAAATCGAGTTTATCTGTCTGTCGACCGAGCTTTTGAAACATTAACTCATGAACGCAACGATATGAATACTTTATGCTTTTAGTTAAAAATTCAAAGGTCGGATGTGCTGGGAAGCGATTGGGACATTTCTGTACTCAAGGCCATTTACGAGTTTGTCCTGTAGAATTTTATACGAATAATATAAAACTTATTATGCATAGGTATTTCTGTTGGTAAAACAAGTGTATCTATGACGTGAATCAGGTCACAATGTCAGTGACAAAGCTGGAACAGAACGGACAGAAATAAAGTGTAGTGTTGACACAAAGGGACTTTACTTTGTGTATTTCCTAAAATTGATGCAGGTTTTATTGGGATATAACAGAAAACACTTTCTTTTGGACTAAAATATCTACCACATCTAAGGTTTTGAGAAAATAAGATAATAATATAATTAGATAGGTCTTAAAAAGGCTGAATGTGTAATGAAAAGAAAGTTTTGTGTTATGTTTCCTTGCTGCCTTGTCTAGATTTGAGTTGTCTTATTTATAATTTTTCTTTCGTGGTATATTCATACCATATGATTCTTATTTTTTCTAAATCCGATAAGTGGTTTAGTATCCGATATCTTGCTTTTAATCATGGAGTTTATTAGGCTGAAGGATTAAGTGCCCGAATATCCTCAATCTGTTCTAATTGCAATAAAAGGCCTCCACCTTAAATTGTCTCACTGCCGACTGATAGAATTTATTCCTCCTCAATATTTTGCCACATTATTAATTGAGAAATGTAAGTGTATAGATTGTAGGATAAAGGCATATTTCGTTCAGGGGACTCTTAGGGCTTGTAGTGTTAGGGCGCGTAGACTTAAAACCTTTCTACATGAGATCTCAAGACTTTTAACAGTGCGAGCCATACTAATCCCACCAAATTTCACTTTTTTGTAATTTGCTTATGACAACTTTTTTGGGGTCTATTTCTTGCACGTCAGAGGTGCCTTTTATAAAAAGGGGTTCCTATTTCAATTTTCAGACCTCTAGCATCAAACTTTGCGGAAGTCTCATACAAACTTTCATCCCCTACTTAAAAGGGGTTTGGGTAGAAATGCCAAGTTTTAGAACTTTTTTGTCGTTTGTGTACCAAAACTAGCTTACATACCAAAATCAGCTTTCTAGAATTTCAGGAAGTAGCCTAAAAATTTGATGATCATCAGTAAGTCAGTGACGAAATCGGAGTTTTATAGATATCAATAAAATTTAAACTATAAGAACTATGCAACTGAAACTTTATACTCTTAACAAAGCCACTATTAACATCGTATTCCGAGAATTTCGATTTAATCCAAACCCAAGTTATGAAACTTGAAAAAAGCAACTTTTCGATTCGCTTGGCTCGTCTTGGCGGATTTTAAAAAGTTATACCGACTTTACTAAATTTTTTATCTCTCTCTCAATTTAAGAGAGAGATAAAAAAATGTCGGTGTCGGTAGAGCAATCGTCACCCTTCTATATTTCCTGCTTTCTGTTTGACCTCGTTATAGGCCACGACTCCCACATTCTCCTTCACTTGCTGTATGTATGTTGATTTAGGCCGTCCTCGTTTTGCCTTGCCTTCTATTTTTCCTTCCAGTTTTTTGTAAAAGTTTTAGTAAAAGATGGTTCAAAGTTAGTGTTTAGTAAAAGATGGTGCAAAGTGTTTTAAATGAATGGGTTCAATTACTATGAATGAGTAAAAACTACTACCTAGGCGAGTTGTTGTACAATATGCAAATGTATGCAAATAGGCACACTTATGTATTGCCGCTGTAAGCTTCGGTTTGTTCACCGATATCAAAGGCTATGAGATTTAATTGCGGATCTCGAACACGATTAGTAAACATGAATGTGTAGTTGGTTAAACTGTTAACTTTCTAGGTTTTTCCAACCACTGACGCAAAAATTAGAGGGTGTAAGTTAACACATGTGTATGTGAGTGTTCGTGTATCTGTGTGTATGTAATGTTTACATACACACTTCAATTTAGTTTTTATCTGGTTTTAAATATGACTTGATAGACAGTGTTTTAGCTTTAAGTCAATCGAATCATAATCAATCGATTATAATTTTCTCTAAGTATTTTCTTCCATCTTCTCGTTAAAGACATTTTCCAGTCAGTGCCATTTTAAAAGGTTATAGTAAGATATTCAATGGTGAAGAACTAATTTTTGATTGTATGTTCAACTACTTTTATCGTAATGTATTGTATTGTATTAGTATTACTATAAAAATCATAGATTTACAATACTAAAATACTTATTAGTATTGTAAATTTATGACTTTTTTCTATGAAAAGCTAATAAAATAAAAAAAGGGTACATACATATCATAAAATATTGAAGATTATTCATCTTTTTAGTTACAGATACACATATATACATACATTTAAAAAAATGGCAAGACACCTAGGCAGAGTACACGAGATGGCACGGGGTCCATCGGAGTACCAGAGATTTCCTTTCTAGGTTACACCTAGCTACTACCAGATGCCTGAGACGGCGCAGTGCGGTTTTTATCCGTTCGAGGTGGTGGGGCATTCTAACGCGATTTCCGCAAGAAAAATGTCTAATTCAGAGAGCAGATATCATGACCTCGGTATTACATATTATTGTAGTCGAATACACTACCTCTGAGACACATACATTGGTTGTGTATTATTTTACACTTCAAAATCAAATACTGACTTCTTAATTAAGACGTAATTAATTCATTTGGAAAGAATTTTATCGCGTCTTAATTAATTGGTCATTCAGCCGTTGGAGAAAAAACTAGAAGGTTCAATATCGAACTTACCTGCGCCTTATCATGTTTGTCGTGGAACCTATCAGCATCTAACTGGGCAGTGTCCCTCTCCTTCTGTAGCCGAGCCGCTTGACCAAGTGCTTTGTCCAACTGGGATTGCAGGGATTCGAAGTCGTACGCCTGTTTTTCACGATCCACTTGCAGCTAAGAAGAAATATAACTTGATTTAACTTGCGTTTACAGTTTAAGAGATTATAAATAAATATTGCTCAATTTTAGAGGGTTTACTATAAACATATTCACTATTACTACTATGATTACGGTTTACAAAGGTTACGGTTTACTATTTTAGAAGTAATGAGTGAATATTTTTAACTAAACCTAAAGTCTTGGTTTTGAAAGTAACTAAACATTTGAGTAAGTAATACGTATAGGTATAATTATTTCCTAGTTCCCATCAAGGATTTTTGTTAATAATCATATTTTCGGACAACAGACACACAACGCCATCTAGTTTCAAACTAAACAGAGCTTGTACTATGAAAACTAGATTGACTGATAGAATATTTATTTAAGTCTTTTTTTGTAAATACATACAGAATTTACATAGAAAACACCCAAACTCCGAAACATATATTTGCAGAACATACAAAGATTTGGTCCGACCCGGGAATTGAACCAGAGACCTCAGCACAGTCATCGTCATTTTCGATTTATATACTTATTTATTTTATAAAGATCGACTAATAAGAGGTAATAAAGAGGTATTTATAGAAATGTACTTTTTTGGCAATAACTATTTATGATTTGCAGTAAATACTACTAATTCAAGTAGGAACTGTGAATACATTTGTTGAGGTTTTTGATTTGAATCTCTTATTGATAAAAATGGATGTTTGATGTTGAACAAGTGGAGTAATCCTTTGCTAATACCGCCGTATAGGATCAACCTAGCAACTGATCATAATGAAATCTAGCAACGTTTTACATCCTCTTCCACCGAGTTTCTTTCTCAAACTAGATTGAATATGATACGCCTGAACTTTGATCGCGGACTTTTACATCATCTTCATTACTGCCATCAGACCTTTTTTGTATGTTAGACGCTGAGTTAGCAGATCTTCATTACTGCCATCAGACCTTTTTTGTATGTTAGAAGTGTGTGTGTCTGAGTTAGAAGACGAGCAGACGCCGCCCATGAACGTCTGTAACTCAGGAGTCACAAACGCGTTGCCGGCCTTTAAGGAAGGAGTGTGCTCTTTTCTTGAAGGTTTGAAAGTCGTATCAGTCCAGAAATACCGCAGACGATAAACACATAGATATTCGTAACTTAACCAATACCATTGCCACAAATGTTTGTATGGCAACCAGGACCGACGGCTTAACGTGCTCTCCGAGGCACGAAGAGCTCTCAATGTGTTAAGAATGGTCACCCATCCATAGACTGACCTGGCTAGGATTGCTTAACTTTACAATGTTAGCCACGAGCCACTCGAGTTAAATACATTTTGTAAATGCTCCTGTGTTGTTCTATATCCTACATTATACACCATGTGTTATGTGATTCCCCTTACTTTGCATATCTTATCACAATAAGTAGGTCCACCTACGCACAACTGTCAAATGATAACCTGATGCTGAAGCTTGTGATTAAAGCCATCGTCAGTGTAAAACAAACTCTCATGCAATTCAATATGGTTTATAAGAGAATGACAAGTTTAATTTTTGGTCATACAATAATGTTCGATTTAACTTGCACTTTACCTCGTCTAGTAGATTGGATTCATATATTTTTTTTTTATTAAATTTCTAACCTTTGTTTTGTGACTCTAAGAAAAAATATATAACTATCTCTCATGAAGCGAGGATTGTTTTGAAGTGAGGATTTAAATAGATAACAATCTAAAATAACTGTTTCAAAAAATAACTAGATATTAAAAAAAAACTTTGAAAATACCACAGACTCTAATTCGCCTATGAGATAAATTATAATAAACGATATCCTTCATTCCTTAATTTTTCGTCGTGCCGGTGCAGGACTTTTTCATCAAAATTTAATTGGGACTAAACAAAAAATATATTCTCCACAATAAAATTAATTATTCAAATCGATTCATAAATGACACAGTTCTGTGGTAACAAACATAGAAAAAAATAAAATCCAAGTGAGAACCTCCTACTTTTTTTGAATCATCATCATCATCAACAGCCTTTAATAGACCACTGCTCGACATAGGCCTCTCCATAGAACGTACGCTGGCCAGACGGGTTAGTATAGAATTTGTTTCAAGTTTTCCTTCTCTTTGCAGTGCTGTTGTCCTGCATATTTTGCTCCCTTAGTCGACTTTTACGACACCCACTTGATGAACTTGGTGACACTTCGTATTCTTAATCCGTCACACGGTTTTTTTTTAAATATTGAACTAAATCCTATTCTCTGACCATTTATTGGCATTTTCAAAACTGATAATTGATTAATCTGTAATAGTATTTACCTTTCTATTTTCGGCAGCCGCCTTATCGAGTTTCTCCTGAAGCTTGTCAATCTCCGAATGCGCGGTGTCCAGGGAGGCCTGTAGTTTGTCCTGTTGTAGTTGAGCCTTGCCAAGAGTAGCCTGAGTTCTTTCTAGTTCTTCTCGTGCCTTGTCTAGTTCGGCTACAGCTTTGTCCCGCTCAGAATGGAGACGACTTACTGAAGACTGTACTCTGTTATTGAGAAAAGAAAACATTATATCAATAAGTTACATTACGTAAATAATCTCTATACAATCTGATACAATCCCTACTATAATAGCCGACCCTTTGATGATTGCATCACTGTCCATTTCCGCCTCTAAGGGTCGTGGCGTGACATTAAAAAGTCTAAACATCCTCAGTAAACACTAAAAAAAACCCATTAATATACGACTAATAATTCCAGAGATGAGCTCTTTTAAACCAAGAAACAAACCAAAAACTCGTTGGTATTATAATATAAGTATACATTTCTTATAGGGTATTCCATAGGGTTTTTAGATCCATGATCAATTAGAGAAACTTTACTTTCTCCTTAAATATATTGAGAAATCTTAAATATGTGGAGAAACGTTATGGAAGCAGAAAAAATATTTTTACTCTTCATTTAACTTTTCCAACTTATTCAATTTTTGTAATGTTTAAATACTCACCTATCATATTCCTCTTTAAGGCTATCTTGTTCCGTTTGTGCATTTTCAAGCTTGGCTTTCAGACGATACACTTCACCTTGAGACTTTTCTAGCTTGTCTTGCAAACCACTGGCCTCAGATCGAGCTCTCTCAGCATCCGCTTGTGTCACTCTCAGCTCAGCCAGAGTCCGTCTCAACTCAGCAGCATGCTTATCTGCCTTTTCTTGAACTCTATCCAGTTCTTGAGATGTCGTCAATGTGCTCCTGCCGAATGTTGTTTGAGATCGCTCCAATTCATGCTTAAGTCTTTCGTTTTCAAGCTCAAGTCTGGCCAACCTTTGTTTAGCTGCTTCCCAATCAGCCCCTGATCTACCAACTTCACTCGCCGCTTTATCCAATTCAGCTTTAGATTTGCCTAATTCAGACTGCGAGCTTTCCAATTTAGCCTCAAGCCTATCCTTTTCGGCTTGAGCTCTTTCAAGCCTAGCACCAAGTTTTTCTACTTCACTTTCAAGCGCATGGAGTTTCATTTTATATTCGGCTATCTCTCTTTCGTGGAGTTCTCTTTCTTCATTTTTCTCGTGTTCAGCTCTGTCTCGCTGTTCCCGCAACTGCTGAATCTGCTTCTCCTTATCTCCGATCACTTCTTCTAGAGAGGAAAGTGCTCCTTCAGATGAACAATGATGTGCTTGCATAGCGTTCAGTCTAGCTCTAGCCATGTCTACTTGATTATCTTTTTCTTTCAACAGGTCTTCTAAATTTTCAATCTGAAAGTATTAATATGTTTTAAACGCGCACAGGCCACTTGTTGTAATTGTTAAATGTACGTTTATATTTGTAAATGTTATACAAATAAATAAAAATCAAAATAAAAGTAAACATACCTTAAAAGAAAAGGTGAACACAATCACAACACAAACACTAGCTTGAAAAAACAAAATATAAAATAAACACAATACATTAAAAAGGTACAAAAATTAAACTATAATTAGGATCAAAGGATAGCTGAGAGCTTATAAATTATAATGTACAAACTATAAATTATAAAAAAAAAACGCTGTAAGTGTAAATAGTTCTATTGTAAGCTACTGTATTAAATCTAGTTTCCAAAAACGTCGAAGTTATTAAACATTACCATGAACTTCATGGTAATGTTTAATACCATGAAAATATCAAAAAACTGAACCAAACCCATTTAAAATTTGAGGATCACTAATTAATTGGATTAAAGTCTAATCTCTTTGTAAAGGTTTCTCTAACGTTAATGAAATTAAACTTTAGACACTTCTAAAGCATTTAAGTTAATCATTGATGAAAGATTTACGAATGATTAACAATTAATTTATGAAACGCATCTAATTTGAGTTGTTTTGTTACTGAAGTTTACATTATTGATGTGGATGATGTAGATGTTATTATAGAAGCAATCATAAACTGGTCGAATAATAGGGATTATCGGAAAGCCTTGTTCAGTGGAACGTTGTTATACATTAATTATTTAATGTTTTAATCGGAACTGGAACAACTGAAATGGACAGAGATGTTAGAGGCTTCGATCCAATCGTAGTGATGGTTGATTCTCTTTGATGTTGTTTTTATATCGTAGTGGGATTTGTGCAACCGATTGAATGAATAAATTTTTTTAGCCTAACTGATAAATAAATAAGATTAAAAGAAATGCATGATGTATAAAAGATCATTTATTTTAAAAAAACATGTCGGAGCTAAAAAATACCTATGTACAATCACAGTAGTGCAGTTTCTTTTATACATTTAAAATACTGATAAGTTTAAAAACTATAAGGAGATCAATTAAAAGAGCAGTAACAGTCAAGAAAAGTAGGTTTTAAGTGTATAGTTTAGAACTAATTCAGTCTTTAGCATTGTGTAACAGAATGGTTTTCTCTGCGGAGTAAGTGTAACATACAGTAGAGTAAGGAATCGACATCGAAACATTAAGAATCTTCAATAAGGTACTTCAAAACAATTTCATTCGCATACTCAATTATGAAAGCGAAAGTTCATTTGAAAGTTTATTCAATTTTGGTTTCCTATGGGGCCTATACGCTGTTAAAAATCGGTTCTATTTAAAATCTTTTGTATAAATGTCCACGAATTCACTATAAAGTGAATCTCTCCATCTATTCTCCATTGCTGTTAATGTTTATTGTGAGTTCTTTTTATCTTATGTAACCTGGGCCACATCCCCAATTTCGAGCAGGTATCCTATATTATAACTATTTAATATTTCAGGTAGGACAAAACCGTATTAGATATTTTTTGTGAACAATAAAGAGCTTTAATATATTGTAGCTACTAACTTTGCGCTAACATATTCTTCATCTCCAACATTTCATACAATTTACCTTTCTCTGCAATACATTGATCTTGCGATCCTTGATCTCTGAATGATCCCTAAGTTCTGCAAGCTCGTGTGCTGCACCCAACGCCGCCGCTGTCTTCTTCTCCACCAATCTGCTTTTCTCGTCCAACCGGGCCTTAAGTTCTTCCACCTGCGCATGGTAGCATTTCTGTTTCTATATAAAAGTTAACAAAAAATTACGAATTACTCACTACTCAATTTTAAGACTTCAATGTTAATGTTGCTGTAAACACAGTTAATTTTAATATCAAAAAGTATCTCCTAATTCCACTAAACTCAGTCCTGTATTAGCTAACCACCTAACTATTGAAATGTAGGTCTATAGTGCAATTGGCTTTTGGTCCAATATTTGTCATGACTTACATCAGTCTGCAGCATACTATAGTGTTCTTCTTTAGCGCATAGTGATTCTTTCAACACGGCGATATGACGTTGGTAGTCTTGATGCTGCTCCTCCAGAGCCTTCATCTTGGCCGCCATCGCCAATATTTCCTGGTCTCGTCTCTGGATCTCCAACCGGAATTCGTCCAACTGCTCATCATTCCACCATCCATCCGAAAGTCGTTATAGAATTAGATAAATCCAAAGATTTGATTAGTAGAACACAAGAAATTTAAGACTCCAGAAGTATAAACCAAAGAAATCTATCTACTTAGGCAATAAGTGATGGCGGAAATGATACTGATGTTAAAAACTTTAATCTACTTAATATTACTGATCAATAAATGATCATCAAATATATACTGTTATACTTAGTGACGTTAGTACCGAGGTTATATGAAAAGCGACGCAAGCTTTTTATGTCAGTATTAGTTAGTTATACGAGTATATGGCACGAAATGTTTCCAGCACTATAATATTGAACACGATTTAAGAGCAGTGCCATGGAAGACATTTCGATAATCTCACACGATCATATATTTGACATGCAATCATAAAACTTCATAATCGACTTAGATATAAATACTTGGTAAAAATCATACCGAATCACCAAAATTGTAAATGGACATTTACATCTGAAAAACTTTCGATACTATATACTATTAAATATGAAAGTCTGAAGCCTTAATGGGCATATTCAGAAAGTTTTCCAGTGATCGCACATCTAATTAATGGTATCAAAAGTAGTTAAACATCGTTGGATGCACGGGCGCCTACGTTGTGATACATTTATCTACCGTTACTGTGAGAGAGACTGATGAAACATGACCACTACATGAGAGAGGTCGGATCGTGATGAGCTACACTAGTTGATGTTGATGCGGGTGACGCGGGAACAAAGCTGGAGCTGGTTCTGGACGATGACTTGCGATCAACACCGAAAGCACAATATGATCAAATCATAAAAGATCAAGGAATTTCACAGAAACGTTATTACGAGGGTAATTTCTTTCGATGCGTTCGACCTCGACAGTCTTTATTTAATAACAGTCTATCTCTAAATCGTCAAATTTGGTGTCAACGTAATCAACCTCACATGTTTCATCTAACCATACAATTTACATCTAAATTTATATATTCGCTTCGTCTAAGGCCCTATTTAACAAAAATATTTAAATCGACATCTTTCAAGAATATAATTCCTCTTATTTTAATAAAAATAGCTTTAACAACGAACAAGTTTACACAAAAATATTACGAGTCAACACAGTCGGCGACGATTTCGGCTAAGTTCGGACTTAAAGCAAGAAATTGACACGGTACTCGTCGGTCGTCGGCGACGTCACAGAGTGGTGGCACTATAGTAGGGTGAGGCGCGCGCGTGCGCGTGCGCTGCTCGCAGCGCAGGGCGCGGCGGGCGTGGGGGAGGCGCACTCGTGCGCCCGTCCTTCATCACCCGCACGTCGTTCAGCAGAAAACTTACTTGTCTCTTGAAGGGAGGTTCGGCCTTATCATAAAGCGAGGTGTGCGAGGGCGCGAGCGAGGGCGGCGGCGGCGACACAAGCGCGGCCAGCTCGCTCTCGAGCAGCACAACCTGCCGCTCGAGTGTGGCGATCCGCGCTTCCTTGGTCTCGAGCACCGCCGTGAGAGTTGCCCCCGCACTGCCACCCGGCAGGCCAGCCGCGGCCAACGCCCTCTCCAGCTGCGCCTGCAGCGCCCGCAGCGTGTCCGCCGTCGCCTTGAGCTCCTGCCATCACGCGAGTCGGTCAGCCGCCGCCGCCGCCCGCCGCCGCCAGCACCGACGGCGGCTCCGCTCAACATACAACCTACCTACGACCGGCGACGCGTCTCGTCCGCTCCTCGCTGGGGCTGCGTGCCGGTCGGACAGACATGTTTCTGCTACTGCGAACTAGCCGCGGTGGTCACGGCAAAAGACCCACAATGCGCCGTCGACTCGACGCAGCCCCAGTTGAAGGCGGTACAAATTAAATTTTTGCTTCTAAAAACAATGATTGCTCAACTGAATGTCCAATAAAATTTATACGAGACGGTCTTCTCTAAGGTTCATGTGACGGGGACATAATGAGCTGCTAAACATGCAATGTCGTGATTTAGTTTGTGTTCGTGTCGATATAAATTTTTTAATTGTTTTTTTTTTGTGATGTTTAGGCCGAATACGTTGTCAAAGGTTAAATTTTGAAAGTTTTAAAACAATAATAATTGATATGTATCGTCGACGTGTACGTGGCGGGAGGAGGGAGCTAGAGAACGGTAACTGGTGCTCGGGGCTCAAGCTTTGACAGTGTCACAGAAAGGTACTTAAAGTCCGTGGGAGTGAGAAAGCGATATCTGAGAAAGATTTATAGGAAGCCAACGAGTGTGATTGATCAGTTAACATATAAAGGCGACGCGACAGTCACATTCGGCTCAAGAGTCAAGAAATGAATGAAATGATATACTATCAAGAACAACACTAACAGAAACAGTGAACGATGATAAAGGTATCACAAAATAAAACGCCCATGTGGTACAAATATACTAGTAAATACATAAATATAAGAAAGCAGAAGTGACATGCACAATATACGAATAATACAACAACCTACGTTACACAATGCAGGATAGATTCTATTACAGGTTCAGGGTAATAACAAAATTTCCAATAAATTGTATCAAAGCGACTGAATATTAGAAATTTTGCTACACAGCTCATGCACACACGCCACATTCGACTATTACAATAATTACCTGTTTTTGTGCCATAGCTTGCATTTGCTGGAACATTTGGCGTTCTTCTTCTTTACCTGAAAGTGATTTGGAGTTGTACTTCTGACACAGATTTTAACTACATTATTCAGATTAACTTAAGTAACGTACCCATTCCTTTGTTTTGGAGCATTTCGAGTAGTTTTTTGATGCTTTCATCTCTAGCCTGCAGCGTTTGTTTCTGTGTTTCGATCCTCAGTTCTAGTTCCTGTTTGGAAAAGAAATTTAATGCTTAATACAATTAGTGTTCCTGTTTTGTCACAGGTACTCATCAGAGTTTTTTCTTAAATCAATTGTTACAGAATACGGACGGAATACAGACTCTTTTTGATACTCTTGCAAACAATTACTGGATATCCCGAACTGGATATCCAATATCCCGAATGTGCAGACTCCTATAACACAGGATGTTCCTAGCATGGGGTCATTGATCAATGATTTTGTGTGTATTCTGTTTCTTTTTTTTTCTAAGTGTAACAATAAGGTGAAATACTATGTATGTACAAGGTAAAAAAGATAAGGGGAAGAAAGGAAAAAAACACTGTGTACCTAACTAACCTAAGAACATTATGTTGTATTACAAAATTTGTACTTACTTTGGTGTTATTAAATATTATTATTATTATATTATTATATAGTTATATAGTAATATAACGCAATTTGCTCTGAGGTGGACATTTCTCACAATAGTTATACTCTATTCATAAGTCTATTACTAAAACTATGTGCCCCACAATAATATCTGTATAATTTCTTAGGCTTCCTTCCTTTTTTTTTTAGGATCTTTGTGTTGTTATTTAATCGAACCTTAAACCAATTATTTTGTAATAATAATGGAGCTTAAGTTTATTATGTGAATTCTTTAGTCTGTTAACATACTCATATAAACTTTGTAATAGAACGTTGTGTATAGATATAACTGGACTTCAGATTTAAGTATTGTATATTGTCAACATAATTGTGTATGTGCTAATCTGTTATCTGTTACTGTACCTATTAGATAAAATAAAATAAATATGGTATTTATCAGCTTATTAATTCACTTACTTTTATAGTGTCTCTCAATATCGCTATTTCTCTTTGTAGATGTTCGTTTTCAGCAAACAAGGCTTCGAGTTGTTGTTGCAGTTCCGGAGCAGGCTGTCGCATGCGTAATCTTAGTTCTTCTTCCAGTTGTCGTACTAGCATAGCTTGTTTCTGTAAATAAAAATCATAGTTTTTACTCACTAAAACTATTAAAAGTAACATTAACGCATTTATTGCATACAATGATTTTTCTACCCACTTCACTCTTCTACATAATATTAAGTCCTGTTGCAAATTAAGAAAAGTCATTTTTAATGGTTTAGGGGGCAAACAAGTAGATGACTTATAAGAAATTAACATCGAAAAAAGAATTTTTGTTTTTTAATTTATAAATCGCACTGATTTTGTTTAAATCATATCATTAGTCACCTGTACATCTCATTTTATAGGAGCCTATCTACAGTTAAATATAGGTCAATAAAAACGTCTGTCGAACAAAGAATAGTCCTCTTTTCATTTTGTGAGTAAATTGATTTGTTAGTAAATCTGCAAACCCCTGGTGTCCTTTCTTTCCGCTTGAATTTTTGTCCACTATGCGTGTCATTTTAGGGCTTGCCCTTTTTCGAGGTACATGCTCGTTTTTTGCTTAAAAAAGTGTACACCCGTAACTATAAATGAAGGTTCCAATCTATTAATATTCCCTTTCACATAAGTCGAACACCTGTGTAAAGCCTTCTGGCAAGAGCCAAATAGAAAAAAAACTGGTCAAGTGCGAGTCCAACTTTTTCTAATGTAATTTTCAACTTATTTTTTTGGAATTTTTCCTTTATTTGTGCTGTAGGTCAGACCTTGCTTTTTGCCAAATTCCGTGATTCTAGGTCAACGGGAACTGCCATATAGGTTCTCGACCCAAAACCTATAAGGTACTTCCGGTTGACCTAGAATTGTCAATTTTGGTTAAAAGCAAGGTCTTACAGCACAAGTAAAGAGAAAATACCGAAAAATAAAAAAGTTGAAAATTAAGGTAAATTTTGGCACTTACAAATTACGCGAAAATCTAAATTTGCCCATATCTTTTTATCGTGTTGACTCAGGACCTTGATTTTTATACACCTAATAGGGACTATAGACCTCACTATTTGGTATAAATTTCAACTTGCAAGGTCCACCCGTTCCTGAGAAAATCGTTGGTGACACACTTACTTTAAATTTACCTTTTGAGGAACGGAAGCCTACAAAAAGGGAAAATAACATACAGCTGAATTGAGAACCTACTCCTGAAATACATTGAAACTTAAACGAAAATTATCAAATAACATTAACATGTCTGGATAAAACTTTTCTAAAATTTATTCGGATATTATATGTACATATATAAGAATTTCTAAACGATCCCTCAAAAGACATTACAGTTGGTTCCCAACATTTACAAAATAGTAAGCACATCAAGTCGTTCGATATTAGTTCGCGGGTCTCGTCCACGATGTCGTTTACTTTGCATTAGTCACATATTGCCTAAACTTCTATCAGATACGATCGACAAATTAATTTTTTTTATGGTTTGATTTATTTCACCGACTAAAATAAATATGTTTATAACTGAGGCATTGCACGCAAAGCAATAAGTTTGTTTTAGTTTTATGTAATGAAAAAGTACTTATTCGATAGGAGAACTATACTCGTAATTTATATTATAACTGTTTGTGTCTAGGGGTTTTAGATTACCAATGTTGACTCTTCAGGCAAGTAATATTATTATATACTCATGAGAGTTATAGAGGGATATTGTTACCGGGCAAGCTTAATAACTGGCATTTTGATTTGCACATGATTTTATCGCCATTTTTAATTGTCAACCATGAAAAATGCGTGCTCGAAACAAATTTAATAGTTATTTAATTTTTAATAACTTGCACAAAATTGACAACATTAAACGCAGTTGGAGTGACGATTTGCGCTAGATGGCTGGCAGGAGCTGGATGCGAGAAGCCTAAAATCGATTTAAGTGGCGTGCAATGGAAGATGCTTATGTCCTGCAGTGGACTGCGATAGGCTGATGATGATGATGAAACGCAGTTTGACCAGTTTAATGTTTTTATTTATTTAACGTTAGAAAACGTAATGGTAGAAACGGATAAATGTTTATTTTGTAGAAGAATCTTTGTATGGGATAAAAAGGGTCCTGTCTTAACAAGCGAAATAAAACTTTTGTATCAAAAGTGTATACGGAAAAGGTCACAAACTAAAATAGGCAATCTACCCTTCAGATTCTGGAAACATTAACTTACTTACCTACTACTTTATTTGCAAAATAAACTTCTTTTTTACAAACATAAAGCAGAGCAGGCTCTCTATTTTATATGAATAGTTAAACCGGTGTAAAGGGAATGCTTTCACAACTGTCACGTACCTCAAATAGGAATCTTGATATTCTTAAATTTGGTGTATCTCCCTTTTAAAGATGACTTGCACATTTCTATTGTAATAAAAGTATCAAAGAGCTGTCTAATGATATTTTTGAATGTCTCTTAGGCATTTAATCACGTACAGTCATTAATAAGGATGGATGTCAGTTAATTAAAGAAAAGAGAAAAGAAAAGAGCGTAAAGCCTCCCTAAAAGGATGGCAACGCGTTTGTGACTCCTGAGTTGCAGACGTTCATGGGTGGCGATGGTCACTTTCTATCAGGTGACCCGTCTGCTCGTCTGCCCCGTTTAATGTAAAAAAATATATATTATCTTAGGTGATTTACGCATTAGCTTTAAATCATGCAAGACTTCGACCAGGATGTACTGGCCTTAGTCCAAAGCAAACTGAGCCCACGACTAAAGAAACTGTGCCTCTCAAACCCTAAATACAAATTCTTAATTTCCCGTTCGTTAGTAATAATTACATAAATACTCATTTACACAAATAATAATAATAATACCTCAGACACTTAACACACAATGCCATCTAGTTTCAAACTAAGCAGAGCTTGTACTATGAAAGCTAGATTAACTGATAGAATACTTATATACTTTTTTGTCTTTACTACTATACATATTATTCATAGAAAAAAACCCAAACTCCGAAACAAATATTTGCAAACATTTAGTCCGACCAAACATTTTCATTTACATAAATAAATCTTGACCTTTTTAATTTCTAACAATCAATACACATAACACCCCTATTCATCCCGTGGGTGTCGTAAGAGGCGACTAAGGGAGCAAACTACGCAAGACAACAGTACTGCAGAGAGAAGGAAAACTTGACACAAACCCTATACCAACCCGTCTGGCCAGCGTGGTACAGTAGGCCAAAACCTCCTTTCTAAGGAGAGGCCTATGTCCAGCAATGGACTGTTACAGGCTGTTGATGTGATGACATCATCACACGTAAAATTACTTGCCCGGACAAACTGACTGATTCATCAACGTAGAGCCTAAACCGCTAAGGCTACAAACTTGAAGTTTTAGCAGCTTATGCATTTCGTTGTAAGCACTCACTAAGAAAGGATTTACAGAAACATCACCAATAAGGGGGTAAAATAAGGGATGAACCGTTGTACGGAAGTTCGTCATTTTAACTTTTCACCGCAGGCAATAGCTCGTGTTTTTTTATATTATAAATGGTATATCATGTTCACAAATTGTTACAAGAAATTTCGAATTAAGAGGAAAACCTTTTCTAAGTATTGAAATCACTGGAGAATTTCCGGGCACAGCTGTTATAATGATATATTCTTATAATACTCTGAAAAAGATTCTTCAAAAGTGTATTCAGGGCAAACGGTTGTAATGTAAATCCAATTATAATAACGAAAGTTTCGAGATTATATTTTGTTGTAGAATTCTCATTACAGCGGCCAGTAATTGAAGAGTACGTGGAACTTAAAAGACTGTCTGTATTAGTCAAGTGTTTGTTAAGAAAAGGCCAACAAGGAAGCCTTATTGATTAAAAAATCCTACTCAGAAAGTAGGCGACTCGGCCATGAGAAAGGCGAAGCGCGCAGAAACATGGTTGTAAGACAAACCTACAACTTCTTGGTAACTACTAGGTCTGATATCAAATGCTAAATATATTTATACGATGGTGTAGTATTGTCAGTTTGTGAGGTAATGTAATGAACACGGCACACAACAGCTCTTTCGATCGCGTCAATGTCAATTTTGTCAATCCCTAGAGAAGAGTTCTTTCGGAGATATAACTCTATAAAATCTATGCGGTTGTCTGGAAAAGATTGTAATTCGCGATAAGGCCGCCAATTGTACAACTTTTTTTACAACTAGTTTTACTTTCTTTGTTTAACCGTCCCTAGATTTGAAGACTATGAGACTATGAAATTAGGGATAGTTACAAAAGGATACAAAATGTTCTGTAAATAAGTTATTTTTTCTGGTACAATAAAGAGTTATCTATCTCTCTATCTACGCTCTTTTGCTGTATCCCTGACACCCGGTATGCAAAATTTCATGTTGAGTAAATAACGGTAAAGCGTTAAAAAAACTCACTTCAACTCGCTTTAACCGAAAATTGATGGGCCAATTGGTTTAGTTGTTACTGATCTAGGCTAATATAGAAGTCGTGGGTTTGATTACCACCCAGGACCAATAATTGTGTGATGATATTTGTTCTGTGTCTAGGTGTAATTTATCTATAACATGTTTGTATTTGGAAATATAAAGGTATGTTTAAAAGCAGTCTGGTTACCGTAAAGTCCCTGCCTAGTTTGGGACAGCCGTGTGTGTGATATGTGAAGTTATTATTCATCATCCATCACATCACAATGCAATGGAAGACGCCTATGTCCAGCAGTGGACTGCGATAGGCTGATGATGATGATGATCGCTTCACATCAACAGCCTTTAATAGTCCACTGCTGGTCATAGGCCTCTCCTTAGAAAGGAGGTTTTGGCCTACTATACCACGCTGGCCAGACGGTTTGGTATAGGGTTTGTGTCAAGTTTTCCTTCTTTTCTTCCTGCGTTGTTTTGAGTCCTTAGAAGGCTCTTACGACACCCACGGGATGAATTGGGGTAGTGACATTCCATATTCTTAATCCGTCACTACACGGACAGTGAGGTTATTATTACAGACTAATAAGAAAAAATATTCATTTAAAAACATGACTACTTTATAATACATTATGTGACAAACATAAAACATTTAAAAGTACTAAAACACTG